GTGGGCGTCTGGCACGGGGTTTTCTGGCTTCTGGAATAACGATGTCGGCGAGGCCTTTGCAGAGCCTTGCGTGGCTGGCTAGCGATTCAGTGGCGTGGCTGTGACCCTCTGCTGACCAGGCGCCGGGCTGGGAAGGGGCCATAAGCTTACCCTCATTACTCAGCAAAGTGCAGGTGAGGCTCTGCACTCCGTTTTTTGGAAAGTCCCCGCGGTTTGGTTTCTCTGTCCTCCACCCCAGGCTGACGGATGGCGCGCTCAGCCCTGGGAAGGTCTCTCGGACAAATGACGTGCTCGGAGCCGTTCTTTTCGGTGTGCCGCAGCGCGGGGTTTGGAGCTGACAGCGTTCCAGTTGCACTTTGATAAAAATACATCGTTAAAATATGCGGTCTGTGTATGGTACACGCTGTACGCAGGATGCAGCTAATGTTTGACAAGACACCACAGCATTAATAAAACAGCGAGAAAGTAGGACGTGCTAGCAGCTTTGTTTGCATACTGATGAGGGAGCCTTCCTCTGCCTCCTCCCGGCTAGCGTGCTTTCTGTCGGAGTTTGGTGGGCCTCCCTGCTGCTGGGGGGGCAGGCGAACCTTTGGGTGACTGAGCTTTAATTCGGGGCTGTTTCTTCCCGAGGCCAGCGGGTCCTGCCGTTCTGCCAGTCCAGTCTGTTCGCTAGTCACGGTCTGGCTCTGAGCCGAGTGCGGCAGCGTAAATCAGCGCCGGCCCTCGAGTTTGTCCTGCCTGAAGGTGGGACGATTGCACCCGGCCTGCTCCTCTCCGGTTCTAATTTCAGGCAGAAGTCAAATGTCTGGCAGTAGTCTTTCGGCAATCGCCATCTCCCACGGAACCGATGCAGTGCAGGAGCAGGGACGGGTGTACTGCAGAGCACGTAGGGTGCTCCCAGGGCTGGCGGCTCCTGCAGCAGCCCCTGCCAGCGCTGACCCGCTGAGACCCTGTCAATAAAAAAGCAACAGATTAAAAAAAAAAAAAAAGATCTAAGTCCAAGAAATGAGCGGGCTTTATCTTAATGAATGTCCTCGTCTTTGAAAGGGACTGTAGGAAAAGAAACCAAACTGGTCCTAAAGTCACCCAAAGCTTTGCGATTTTGCTTCTTGCTGTAGGAGAACCCACGCTATTTCTGACCCCTGCGTCCTCCTAGGGAGGGGGTAAGGAATGTTGTAGCTATAATTGTGTTTGACTTGCTGCCTAGAAGGAGTCTTTAAAGTCAAGACACGCCGAAGAAGGGCGAGAGTCTTCCTTGGATTCTGACGCCGCGTGCCCCCCGACTCCGGTTCAAGTCCTTCCTGGAGATGCTGACAGTAGCCTGTCTGGCCAGCACAAGGAGGACTCCGATGGGAAACTCGCTGGGGATGAGCCACCGGGCCGGAAGGATACGGAAGGGGAAGGTGACATCTCCGCAGCTGATGAGCTGCCACAGTCTCAGGGGGAAAGGAGCGCAGCGGGGACAGATGTGCCCAGCGGTCCCGGGCAGCCTCGAGTTCCGTCTCCGGCTGCTGGAGCTGCCGAGGCGGATCAGCTGGCAAGCCCGGCTGCCGCTGCCGACACCAGGTCTGTTGATGAAAAGAGAGCGAACGAAAGGAGGGAAGAAGCAGCAGCTGATCTGCAAACAGACAGCAGGCTGGATGCTGGCAAAGTAAGAGCCCTGCCTGCATGGCTTGGGTTTGGTGTGGAAGCTGCTCTGGCTGTTCCCGTTGCTTTGTCAGGCCCCGATTCGGGAAAGCTCGGCAGGCACTGACTCATTTTCTCTTAAGGCAGCGTAAGCGCTTTCCTCCTCTGAAGGGTGTTCAGGGGGGGGGGGCACGAGCGCTCTGAATTCCCAGATCGGCGTCTTTAGCAAGGAGCTAGGAAATGATTCTGTTACGCACACACAAAGTGCTGTCCAAAGCAAGCGGCAGGCAAAAACCCTGAACTGTGACGCATGTTTCGAGTCTTGGAGGAGAAATAAGTCTCAGCTTTCAGAGCTGCCATCTGTACTGAGCAAGCAGGTTTCATAATGAAGTTCACACCAAGCCCAGCTGTCCGTGCCGCTTTGTTCCTCTCCTTCTGTTGTTTCTCGCAGCTTACGCAGGGACGGGGCAGAAGCGTAAGGCGCGCTGCAGCTGCGCTGCTCGCAGCCCTGCGGAGGGACGCGGCGGGGGGTGGGGGGCAGGACCAGAGCTGACGCTGGACCCCATCGGGCACGCTGCCTTCCAGCCTGCCCACGGCTGTTCCAGCGTGCTCGGGGAGGAGAACGGGCAAACCAGGGTATGGGACCATGCGGGAGGGGAACCATGAAGTGTCGTGAGATGCAGATGGGGTAACGGCCTGGCCCCTGCAGCTGGGGTGCCAGGCAGACGCACGCCATCCGCTCCTGCTCAGCGTCTTCCAGAAACGTTAGCGTATGAGATCGGAAAAGCGCTCCCTTTCCAACCTAGTTTCCTTCCTGCTGGTTTTGATGGTTTTTCTAGTTCCGTTGATGTGTAGTGCCTTTAGAATCATAGCATCGTTTAGGTTGGAAAAGCCCTTTAAGCTCCCCCAGTCTGTTCCCCTAACCCTGCCATCCCACCGCTAAACCCTGTCCCTGAGCACCTCGTCTGCCCGGCTTTTAAATCCCCCCAGGGATGGGGACTCGACCGCTTTAGGAAATGACAAGCTGTAAAACCGAGCCTGGAAAACACGCTCTGTCCCGAGGAGCTTGAAGTGAAAGGGTTGCTTTCCGAACGCTTACCCGCGTGCTCGCTCCGCGCGTCTGGGCAGCTCTGCTGGAGTCAGCCGGGCTGCGCGGTGTGCACGGGACGCGTCTCGGCTCACGACGCTGGGAGCACGGCAGTCCTCGCCGCGCTTGGGCATGGCGAGGTGTACGGGTAAAGTCCTTTGAAGACCATGGTACTGTTCCGTGTGGCTCTGCCCGTTTGCCTGGTGGGCTGGGGGATTCCCAGAGCTGCGGAGATCCTTGCGGAAGGAACAGAGGGCAGTAAGCAAATGTCCTTTATCAGGGGTAGTTGAAGAGCGCTTCTCTGCCCCCCCCAGTCCCATCCCCTGCCCTCCTTCCCCAGTCCTTTATCTCCCTGGAGTGGTGTCTTGTGCGTGTCTTGTGGGTCATGCCCCGAGTGGCCTTCCCTGTGATACTCAATCACCTTTTCTTCCCTACGTTAGAGAGGCCAGATTTGTCTTCCCAGTATCAGTTGTCGTCTTGTCGGAAACGCCTAGGTGAAGCTGCCGGGGTAAGAGACGTACGGGCTGTAACGCGTTTCTCCTCTCAGCTTTCAAAGGCATCCGAGACCAGCGACTGTGGGGAGGATTTGCAAGTTTCCAACCGCTCGGACCATGAGCTGATTCGGCCTACGGTGAGTCACGAGAAGCTCCGTCTCCCTTGGGCGTGGGCTTCGTGTTCCCACCTCCGGCAGTCCAGCTGCCCGACTCCTGAGCTCCTAAGCGATGACCTTGCAGCGGTGGCATGGGCCAGCGTCACCCTGCGCTTAGCAGGTCCGGCCTGTGGGTGAGGTGGTACCCTGCAAAAGTAGGTGGCTTAGAGCTGGGGCTGCACTCAGAACATTGCAGAAAGGAAAATAAGAAGCAAGGTACAAACTATGCTTTAAGGGACTCGGCAGCTTTTTCTAAGGGCGGTCTGTATGGCCGGGAGACCTGGCTCCTGAAGGTCCCGGAGGGAGAGCGTGCAGGAGGGTGGCCCTGAGACGGGGGGAGATGCCCATCAGCATCTCTTCCTCTCCCCAGGAAAGCGCCATTGCCATCTGCCAGTGGGAGCAGAGGCAGCACGGCCAGCGAATGGCTGAGAATATCATTATTTATCGGCGTCAGTACAAGCCTGCGTGTTGGCAAGCGGCTGCCGCCTCGAACAATACCTTTTGTAGCGCTCGCTTGTGGGCATGTGTGTGCACAGACGCACCCGCGCCGTGGGGGCAGCCGAGTGCGAGGCCCCCCAGATGCTCCGCCGGGAGGGAGAGGTATCTCGGGGAGCGAGGAGCCTGTGGGCAACTTGCAGGAGCTGACTTGTAGGAAAAAACTCAGGAACTCTGCAGCGGTGTCAGAAAGGAGAGCAGCAGAGGCCGCTTGCTTTGGCTGTACCGTGTGTCAGCCACGGGGCCGTGGCCGGTGGCGCGGAAGCCTGCACTGGCAGGGTGATGGAGCTCAAACCTCTAGCGCTACAGAAGGCTTGCTGCCGGTGGGACGGCGAGCGTGGATTCCAAGCTGCGTTCGGATTTTGGTCTAATCTGTCAGGGTCTCGGGTGAAGCCTGCGCATGCTCATGGGACACTGACCCTTTTCTGCTTTCTTCTCTAGGACTTGGCTTTCCAGAGTCGGCTCTCTGAGCAGGTCCTGGACGTGGGGCTTCTCTCTCCTGTTTTGGACAGCCCCACGGGCAAGGTAAGCGCCATGCGTGCCATCAGGGACCCACCTGTGAGCAGGCAGGGTAAAACGCCGTGTTGCGGTGCAGGGTGACGGCATTGGCGTAAGCGCTTGGCAGGGGCAAAGGGAGGCGGCGTGCTGCGTGCCCTGCCTGCGGCGGGGCCGGGACTAGAGCAGCACCCCCAGTGCCTGGCCTTTGCTGCAGGGGTGAGCTGCCCATAGCTACACAAGAACCTCCTCTTCGAGTGGAGGTGGCTCGGGAGGGCTCCACGTGCTCTTCCCCTGCCCCGGTGCGGGTGTGGGTAGATGGCTTTCCTGGGAATGGTGGGAAGCAGCCTCTGGTTTACTTTTTTCTTTTGCGAGTATATTTGTCCTTTTCTTAAGCAGATGGAAAGGATTTGTGTAACACAACTCGATAGCAGAAATGGGCAGACGAGGAGGTTGACTCCCTCTGACAGATTTTGGTAGAGGGAAGCTTATTTTTAAGCGTTTGGTTGTCTTGCCTGCTTGCACGTAGGGGGGAGATTGGTCCCTTTCAGTGAGTCTGCAGCACATGAAGGAGCGCATGTGAGCACGCACAGGTCTGCGCTTCCTATGTCACGTCAGCCCGGGACGTAGCTATGACGGGGCAGGTCTGACTGAAGGAGATTGCTGTTCCTCTCGAGGTTTTATCCTTGTCTTCTCAGCGTGCTGCTGAGTTGGCCCCACGTTCCCGCTGAGCCCCCTCAGCTCCCCCTCTCCCGCACCCTCTCGGCTCACCAGCGTGTTGGCTGGAAGACTGTGCCGTGCCGTGCCGTGCCGTGCCGCGCCGTGGCGGAGGGTGAGGCTCCAGCTGGGGTTACTCAGCCTTGCTCTGATTGTAAGTGAGTCAATCAGCTGCGCTGGAGGAGACCTCGAGTGGCAAACTCGCCACCTGCCTGGCAGCGAGGAGCAATCCAGTTTGCAGGGTTGTGCCTGGAGAACACACCTGGCCTCTTGTGCCTAATCATGAGCATAATCCGATGCGAAGGGAAAACAAAACATATGCCTGCTGTGCCCTCCCCTCTCCCTCTCGCCGCAGCACGGCCCCTGTGCATACAAATGTCTGGCTGGAGCAGCCACGTTCTGAGTTCACGACAGCCCTGTCGTGGGGAGAGAGGTGGATCTGAAGCGGTGCTCCCTGCGGGAGGCTCCTGTGTCCGCAGGCAGAGGCTAGTCCGGAGTGACTGCCTTGGGGAACGTCTCTGCTTCCACGTGGTGAGCTTGCCTTGCTTTGAATATATTGGCAAAATATTCCGTTTTAAAAAAAGACCCCCCCTGCCGGCTACGTGAGGACGGTATTGGCGGGGCTGGGTTAGCGTGTTTTGGTGGTGGCCACGGTAGCCGTGTGGGCTGCTCCCTGCTAGCCCTGGCTTCTCTGCTGGCCGGGGGAGGCTGCCCCTTTCACCCCTCACTTAACAGGCATTTAAAGGGCTTGGCATCCTGCTGTGCTGGCAGCGCTGCTGCGCCGAGGGTGATGGTGGTGAGGAGCTGGAAGCGGGCGGACGATCTAAGCTGAAGCCTGCTGCACATCCTGGAGATCCTCCTGCCGAGGGCCCTCGGGAGCTGCTGTGCTGGGCGCTGGGAGGAGACAGCCTGGTGTCTGCCATCCTGCTTTCTTGGGGCCACCAGACGGGCTTTGTATTGCGAGGGCGTGAGGTTCCCTCCGTGGGATGGCGCCTGGCGTTTGAGCAGGACGGAACGCTAGCAGCTTGCAGGGCTGGGACTGCTGGGGATGCTGAGGCTCCAGGGCAACGTCACGGGCAAGGCTCCAGGGCAATGTCATGGGCAAGGCTTAAAATCGGCCCTCGCTCCCTGCGGGCAGGTTCTGTCTCCACCTTCTCAAACGCGTGCAGAGATTCCTGCAGCCCGTGGCTCCTGGGGAGGGGCTGCCCTCCTGGGAAGGGGTCTGGGGCAGGAGCGCAGCGCTGGCCCCCTGCCTGGGCTCGCAGCGTTGCCCTGGGACTGGCTATCCCTATTCCCTGGAAGACCTCGTTCCCCATTTGTCTGGCTTCTTTCCTTTCACAGGCGGCAGTGACAGAGCCCGTTCTGAGCCAGGAAACGTCTGCTGAGCTCCTCGGTTCTCGGGAATTGAAGTCGTTATTTACACCGGGGCGGGAGGGCGGCTGGGAGGGGGAGCTGCCTGGGAGAGCTCTGCCCAGGCTGATGTGATGGAAGGTGACAGCACTTGCAGGGAATCCTTCTGCTGGTTGCTCCACTCAAGACTTGCATCAATTACTGCTGCTTTAATCCTGTGTTATTTTGGCCTTGCTCCACCGTACGCTCCCGCGTGGCAAGGGCTGAGCTCGCCTGCTGTGCCTGTGTCCCCAAGAATTTCTGAATGGGCTACTCTTCTGGGGACCAGCAACCTCAGCGGGGCGGGCGAGCCCGTACTGCTGTGTCAGGTGGGGCTGGGGGCTTGCGCAGGGAAGCGCTCCCCTCCCCGGCTGAACTGCCCAGTGTCCCTTCGCCTGTTCCTGCTGGGGGGCAGAGGTGCCTGGTGGCTGGCACGTGGGGAACGGAGCCGCTGACTATTTCATATTCAAATATCCGGGTATTTACTGTGTCACAAATAAGCCAAGGGAAGCTGCTCAGTGTGTTAGCAAGGGGGTGGCTTCCTCAGCAGCACCCAACCTGATGGGGCCTGGAGGAGTAGCCGGACATCCCCGGGGAGGTGTGACTGCGTGCGTACCGCCCTCGCGATCTGCCCGAGAGCCAGGGCGCGAGGCAGGACTGAGTCCCCTCGGGATGCCAGGCACAGCCAATACGTCCATCAATTTGCTTTATGGCCACAGCACACTATTTCACTTCGTGCGTGTGACGTTCCTGTTTGGTTGAGGAGATTTTTTTTCCCCCCACACTTGTCAGGTGTTTAGTGGTACTTGGATATCCAAGACCATCTTCGGGGAAAAACCCAGCCTGTGGCCAGAGCGCTGAGTGCTGGCAGGGAGTTCGTCTTCTGTACTGAAAAAGCAAGCCCCAGCCCATAGCCTAGCACCGCCCGGAGAGCTGAGCTCCCGGGCCTCCCCGTCGCGCTGTTGGAACCGTTCCCGCACGGCATTCCCGTGACGTTTGGAGACCCTTGGCTGCCTGCAGGAGAGGAGGCTGGCACATTGAGCTGGGCGTTCTGCAGCAGCCTGCGGGCGCTGTTGGTTCGGTGCTGGGCCGGAGCGGTGCTGCCCTTCAGCAGAACCACTGTGAGGTCCTGAGAGGCTTTGATGGGGAAGGAGCCAGCAAACTCCACACTGTTTGCTTTTACCTGCAGGCCCAGGAGCTGGGAGAAGAGGAAAAAGACCAAAGCAAAGCCAGTGTAGAGGAAGAGCAAAGCAAAAGACCAAAAGCTGCCGAGAGGTATGGTACAAACAGTCAGAGCCACAAGGGAGGTGCCGAGAGCTCCAGCTCCACGTGGCTTCCCTGTCCTGTCCGCCCCTGCTCTGCTCTGGTGACTGTACCCTGTGCAGGTGACCCCTGTAGAACGCCCTGAGACGCTGCGGCTGCTCGCAGGGTCTTCCCCACTAACCCTCTCACTTCTCCTGCCACCCCCTTAGTACTGTCTCAGCAGATTCCAGCTTTGTTTCAGCTGCTGGCTGGGTAGGCAGCAAAACCGCCCGCCTTGCCTTTCCTTTCCTTTCCTTTCCTTGTGACTGCCCCAGGTGTGGAGCTGGCTTCTTCTTCCCCACCAGCCTGCGGAGCTTCTTCT